CATCCTGATTGGTAGATGGAGATGATGATTGTAGATTGGTTGGCTGTTTCGTATCATCCTGTGTGGCTGAGGTGCTGGCTGTGTGTCCGACCTGGGTGGTGGGTGGGGTTTGTTTGTTGACTAGGGCTAGTTTCCAGATATATATATTCCAGATATATATATAAAGCTTATACTGAAAATGACAAAATAACAATCAAATGGTTTTTATTTTGGATATTAGCTCCAAATCTGTATACTTTTCTGAGTTAAACATGAAAAATTAAATGACACAGAAGGTATGATATATACACCAGTTTTTTCAGAATGCTGAAAAGTGAATTTAAAAATAAAATGAAATAGCTCACAAAAATATTAACTTTTACTAAAGCAGAAATATACAAAGTTTTGTGATCAAGTGTTCAAGGACAAAAACTATTACCATTATCTTCCATGGATAGACTTGTCAATACTTCCCATGGATGTCCTTGTATCTGAGCTCCATTTCTGTCATTTCATTATGAATGGCTGAAAATGATTTGTGGTCAAGTGGGCATACATCTGGTCACTATGAATTGATTGAGGTTTGAGATTTCTCCTGAGCAGATTAAGTTTAGCGCGTGCCACCATTATATCTGGTATCCAAAACGTAATACAAAGTAAGACATTGTAGATGGCTGTGGTTTTATATGTGTAGATCTAATGTCATGTTTTACAATTGTATCACTTAGTGATGGCAATTCTGGTCTCAATTGTTATCCTAAACCAAGGATTACTTGCAATTTCCCAGAATAGCTTTGGAGTCTGTGAACATCTTACCCTACAGATAATCATCTGTTTGAATCCCAATGGTACTTTGTGAAACTGTCCACATGTCTAAAACAGAGACATGACAGGTATCAAGCTCTCTCCAGAGACAAAGGGTATTTGATAAGAATTATTTATTGTATTTAGCCATATCAAAAAGTTTGAATGTGAGATGGTACAGGGTATCCTTATTTTTATTTCAACTCTTCTATCTTAGGCTTTCTTTTCTTACTTACCTTCTGCTTGTTTATTGAAGATGTTCTCTGAACTCAGCTCTCTTGTCTCGATCAATATTTCTCAANCAGTTACAAATAGCAATAACACTTAGACATATACCGCTTCACAGCCCTCTCTAAGCGGTCAGCATATTGCCCCCAACAATCTGGGTCCTCATTTTACCGACTTCGGAAGGATGGAAGGCTGAGTCAACCTTGAGCCTGGTGAGATTCGAAAGCTGACAGTCAGCAGAAATAGCCTGCAATACTGCATTCTAATCACTGCGACACCACAGTTCTAATTGTCTTTTAATTAAATTGTTTAAGATATAGATCAATGTGTATGGTGGGGAAAGCACTAAATCTGAAAAATATACATTGACATATAATTTAGTAAAAAATTCACAACTCATTTTCACATATTTCATAAGTATTCCATCTTATAGTGGCATGCCAGAAACAAAGCATTTAAAAAAATAAATACATATGAGAGCTTCTTAAATCTTATCAATAAAACGATTCTCATCTGTTAAAGTAGTACTTATCCAGATGCCTGGTCAATTTGTTACTGAGAATATTTTACTGATAAGAATTTCAAATTTAAATTTTGGTTAGATTATATTCACTGATAATAATGAACAGAGGGTTGGTCCTTGATTTGGGAATTCCAAGTGCAGTATCATCTCAGTTATATAATCATTCAGATTCTAATTTTGTAGAAATTATCAAACAAATTCCTGCATGTTCAAACTGAACCTGTCATATTTCCATTTTTTTAATCACTGGGAAAATAATATATTGATATAGCAGAATTGAATTGAAATATAACTGAAATACAATACTTACCTCTATAATACAATATCTATGACATTTCATTTTTTTTGCTAAATATGCTTCTATAATTGTATGACTATAATTAGATTTATTGTAAGTTTCTAATCATGTTCCACTTAGGTTGCAAAAGATGTTTCTGTGAGACTTCATCATGAGCTGGAAAATGTGGAAGAAAAACGCACCACCACAGAAGATGAAAATGAAAAGTTACGACAGCAATTAATAGAAGTAGAAATTACAAAGCAAGCTCTGCAAAATGAACTTGACAAGATGAAAGAGGTTGGTTCTCTCTATTATCAATTTGTATTCTCTGAATTTCATAAGCACTCTTTTAATGATTAATGAAAATGCATAGCCAAGGTTCATAACAAGACTAACCAAACCTGTATAGAAATGGATGGAATTGAAGAAGTAGATATTTTCCTATACAACAAGGATGAGACATTTCAGCCTTTGTATATTTGTTAAAATATTCATTGTATCTGTTTTTGAAATGAGAATCTTGAGAAATGGCTTTTGGTTTCCAGAAAAATTAAAGGCAAAAAAAATGCTGCTCAAAAATATAAAATTGTAGTCTTTAACCCAGGATGGTCTTTTAAGTACAACTAAAGAATTGCATGAATGTCATAGGATTAGTAATACTGAACAATTTATTGGGACTATTGCTATTGAAAAACCCTGCCTGCTGCATAATAGTCTACCTCTCTGAAGTCCTTGATTCCATTTTCCAAGGGAACTTCAATCTGCATTCTTGAGAGTAGACTTGGAGGTGGCCTGGGAGTTCATGACTATTGTGACAGCTATGGACCTATCCCAGGTCATCTAGGGCCGAATACTAGACAGTGGACATACACCTCATCTGGTTTTCTTCTTTGTGTAGTGGCAATATGCTCTGGAAATTTGGGGAACTCTTAGGTAGCTCCCCTGTCCTGATTAGGTCATGCCCTGATGATCATTCCAGAGGGGTGACACCAAATTCAATGGTCCACCCCAGGAGGATGGAGTGATGGACCTTGGAGTTAGAACTGGGAGTTATTCCTGAGGGCCTGCTGCAAGGTCCTCTTGAAGCTTCGATTGTCATCTGGAATAGGAAAGTTCAAGAGGCCTTGTATTAGATTGTGCCCATGTGGCCTCCCTCCCTTTGTAGATCTGATCACTCTCTGTAGATTTATGGAAGAGCTGAGGAAGAGAAGTGGATCAAGAGATTCCAAGAATACTATTGGTAGCGAAAAAAGAATTAACTTGAAGAATTAACAGGGCTGAGAGCTTCTATTCAGGCATACCTTGTTTCAGTAAGGATGGCAAAGCATCAATACTTCCCCACCCTTATTGCATCCACATATGGCTGATCACAGGTGGCCCCATTTAGGGTGCCAGCCCTCTTGAATGGAAGGAACTTTGAGATACACTTTTAGGGCCATCCAGAGGAGAGCAGACAAAATTGCTGAAATTTATTCGTAGTTGCATGCCCATCTTAGTACAGGTCCTATGGAGTTGCTTGGGAGAGTCTTGCCATGTTATCTGGGTAGAGTTCAAACTTATTTGGTCCAAGAAAGCAGGCAGAGTCCTTATGATTGTGAGCATCTATGCTCTTCTTGGTTGGTAAAAGTTTCCAAGAGGGTATTGTGGTTGGGTTTCAGTTATGACAAGTTCTTCTTTAAAAGAGGGGATGAGGCCACTGCCGCTCAAGGAAGCATTGGCCTGCCCTTTTTTTCAAGGAGCCAATCCTGAAATGAACTATTCTGGATAATTTTTATCCAGTATTCAATCTTCATTTTTAGGAAAGATTGTCGAACAAGATGGTTGTGCAATACCAGTCAGGTTTCTGCATGGGTAGGGGACTGAGGCAACTTTGATAGTACTTTTTGATAACCTTGGCGAGAGCAGAATACAATAATGCATCCATCTTTCCTTTTTTTGACCGCTTGGCACCCTTCAATACCAGTGACCATGGTTTCTTTCTGGACCAGCTATGGGGGAATAGGTAGCACTGTATTAAGATGGTTCTCTTCTTTCTTCAGTGGCCAGTTTCAGTTAGCAATAGCAATAGCAATAGCAGTTAGACTTATATAC